TTTTGAGGGTTCTTTTTGGAGTTGATTTCCAATTTTATTCCACTGTGGTCTGAAAGAGTACTTCATATAATTTTGATTTTCTTAAATTTATTGAGACTTGTTTTGTGGCCTGTCCTATGGTCTGTCTTGGAGAATGTTTCATGAACTGATGAATATACTATCTATTCTGCAGTTATTGGCCACTATATTCTGTATATATATCTGTTAACTCCATTTGTTGTAGGGTATAGTTTAAGTCCATTTCCTTGTTGGCATTTTGTGTTGATGACCTGTTTGGTGCTGTCAGTGGAATATTGAAATCCTCCCACTATTATTTAAGTCCTCCCACTATTATTGAAGTCCTCCCACTATGTGCTGCTGTCTATCTCATTTCTTACATCTAATAGTAATTGTTTTATAAATTTGGGAGCTCCAGTGTTAGATACATATATATTTAGGATTGTGATATTGTCCTGTTAGACTAGTCCTTTCATCATTATATAATGTCCCTCTTTGTCTTTTTTAACTGTCACTGCTTTAAAGTTTATTTTGTCTGATACAAGAATAGCTACTCCTATATTTTTGGTGTCAATTTGCCTGGAATATCGTTTTCCACTCCTTTACCTTAAGTTTATGTGAGTCCTTATGTATTAGGTGATTCTCTTGAAGATAGTAGATATTGGGTTGATAAATTATTACCTATTCTGCCATTCTCTATCTTTAAAGTGGAGCATTTAGGCCATTTACCTCCAATGTTAGTATTGAGGTGCGAGGTACTATTCTATTCATTATGCCAGTTGTTACCTGAATACCATGTTTTTTTTAATTGTGTTATTGTTTTATAGGCCCTGTGAAGTTTATGCTTTAAGGATGTTCAATTTTGGTATACTTCAAGGTTTTGTTTCAAGATTTAGAACTTTTTTTTTTAGCAGTTCTTTTCGTGCTGGTGTGGTAGTAGCAAAATCTCTCATCATTACTTTGTCTGTAGAAGACTTTATCTTTTCTTCATTTGTGAATCTTAATTTGCTGGATACAAAATTCTTGGCCTATAATCATTTTGTTTAAGGAGGCTAAAGATAGGATCCCAGTCTCTTCTAGCTTGTAATGTTTTTGCTGAAAAATCTGTTGTTAATCTGATAGGTTTTCTTCTGTAGGTTACCTGATACTTTTCCCTCATAGCTCTTAAAATTCTTTCCTTTGTTTTGACTTTAGATGACATGATTATTGTGTGCCCATGTGATGATTTTATTACAATGAATTTCCTGGGTGTCCTTTGAGCTTCCTGTGTTTAGATGTCTAGATTTCTAGCAAGACAGGGAAGTTTTTCTTGATTATTCCCTCAAGTAAGTTTTCCCAACTTTTAGATTTCTTCCTCAGGAATACCAATTATTCTTAGGTTTGGTCACTTAACATAATCTCATACTTCTTGGAGGCTTTGTTCATTTAAAAAAATTTTTTTCCTTTTTCCTTGTTGGACTGGGTTAATTCAAAAGTCTTCTTGTCTTTGAGCTTTGTAGTTCTTTCTTCTACTTATTTGATTCTATTGTTGAAATTTCTCTAGTGTGTCTTTCATTTCAGAATTTCTGATTTTTATTTATGATATATATTCCTCTGGACATTTTTTGTCCATATTCTATATATTTTTTAATTCCTTCATGTTTGTTTTCACCTTTCTCTGGGGCTTCTTTTAGTACAAAATCTGACATCCCTTTATGATTAAAACTCTCAGCAAAATCAGCATAGAAGGGACATACCTTAAGGTAATAAAAGCCGTCTATGTCAAATCCACAGCCAGCATTATACTGAACAAGGACAACTTTAAAACATTGCTTTTGAGAACTTGAACAAGACAAGTATGCCCACTTTCACCACTTCTATTCAACACAGTACTGAAGTTATAGCTAGAACAATCAGACAAGAGAAAGAAATAAAGGGCATCTAAATAGCTAAAGAGTATGTCAAACTGTCACTGTTCACTGATGGTATGATTGTATACCTAGAAAACATTAAAGATTCATCCCCAAAGCTCCTAGATCTAATAAATGAATTCTGTAAAGTTTCAGGATACAGAATCAATGCACAAATCAGTGGCACTGCTATATAGAAATAACAGTCAAGCTGAGAATCAAATCAGCCTCCTTTTACAATAGCTGCAAAAATAAAACAAAATAAAATACTTAGGAGTATAACTAACCAAGGAGGCGAAAGACCTCTACAAGATAAACTACAAAACACTACTGAAAGAAATTATAGATGACATAAACAAATGGGAAACACATCTCATGCTCATGGATGGGTAGAATCAATTTTGTGAAAATGACCATATGGCCGAAAGCAATCTACAGATTCAATGCAATTCCCATCAAAATAACAATCATTTTTCAAGTACTAGAAAAAATAATCCTAAAATGTATATGTAACAAAACAAAAGTGGCTTCATAGCCAAAGCAAGACTAAGCAAAAAGAACAAATCTGGAGGCATTATATACACAATTTCAAACTATACTATAAGGCTGTAGTCGTCAAAACAGCATAGTACTGGTATAAAAAATAGGTACACAGACTAATGGAACAGGATAGAGAAATAAAACCGAATATTGACAGGCAACCTAACTTCAATAAAGCAAACAAAAACATAAAGTGTGGGAAGGACACCCATTCAACAAACATTGCTGGGATAATTGGCAAGCCCCATGTAGAAAAATGAAACTGGATTCTCATCTCTCACCTTATACAATAACCAAGTCAAAATGGATTAAAGACTTAAATCTAGGACCTGAAACCATAAAGATCTGAAGATAATATTGGGAAAAATCCTTCTAGACATTGGCATAGGCAAAGACTTAATGACCAAGAGCCCAAAAACAAATGCAACAAAAGTAAAGATAAATAGATGCAACTTAAACTAAAAAGCTTCTGCACAGCAAAAGAAATAATCAGCAGAGTAAACAGACAACATAGAGTGGGAAAAAAGTCTTTGTAAACTGTGCATCAGACAAAGGACTAATATCCAGAATTTACAAGGAACTCAAATCAGCAAGAAAGAAAATAATTCCATTAAAAAGTGTGCTAAGGATATGAACAGACAATTCTCAAAAGAAGTTGTTGGGACAATTGAGTATCCACACACAGAAGAATCAAACTGAGCACTTATCTCACATCATATTTAAAAAATCAACTCAACATGGATTAAAGATTTAAATGTAAAACCCAAACTGTAAAACTACTAGAAGAAAACATAGGGGAAAAATTCTGTAACATTGGTCTGTACAGTGAATTTTTGGATATGAAGCCAATAGCACAGGCAAAAATAGATAAATAGCATAACATTAAACTAAAAGTTTCTGCAGAGGAAACAACCAAGAGTGAAGAGACGACCCATCGAATGGGTGAAAATATTTGAAAACCATAGATCTAATAAGGGGTTAAAGCCCAAAATATGTAATGTGACTCAAATGACTCAGGGACAACAAAACTAATAACCTGATTTAAAAATGGACAAAGGACTGGAATAGACATTTCTCTAAAGAAGACATGCAAACAGCCAACAGCAATGTGAAAAGAGGCTCAATATCACTAGTTATCAGGGAAATACAAATTGAAAGCACAGATATTACCTCACACCTGTTAGAATGGCTGTTATAAAAAAAAAAACTAGATTTGACAAAAATGTAGAGAATAGAAACATTTGAACACTGCTGATGGGAATGTAAATTAATACAGCCATTATGAAAAACCATACAGGTATTCCTCACAAAAGTTAAAATACAACTGCCACATGATCTGGCAGCCTCATTTCTGAGGTAATATTCAAAGGGGATGAAAAGATGTCAAGGAGATATCTGTACCCTGATGGTCATACGCAGCAGTATTCACAATAACCAAGATATGGAATCAATCTAAGTGCTTTTCAACATATGAATGGAAACAGAAAATGTGGTGTATATGTGTCTATATATACATAAAACACATTTTCTTTGAGTGTGTGTGTGTGTATACATGTGCACATATTATACACACAGTGGAATATTTTATTCAGCCTTAAGAAAAAAAATCTCTTCATGTTTGACAATGTGGATGAGCTTAGAGGACATGATGCTATGTAAAATGAGCCAGGCACAAAAGGCAACTGTGGTATTATCTTAATTATAAGTGGAGTGTATAAGAATGGACCTTATAGGAAGAGAGAGTCTTACCAAGGCTTGTGAAAGAAGGGGAGAAATGGGTGCAAAGTTTCAGATAGGACAGGTAAATTCTGGGAATCAATTGGTTAGCATGATTATTATAGTTAATAATAATGTATTGTGTACTTGAAAATTGCTAAGAGAGTAGATCTTAAATGTTCTCAGCACATACAAACTATGCAAGGTGATGGATATGTTATTTACCTTTCAGGCAATCATTGCACAGTGTATATATACATTTATTGAAGCATCACAATGTACACCATAAATATTTACAATGTTAAGTTGTCAACTGTACTTTAATAAAACTAGAAAAAAATAAAAATAAATTTAAATTATCTCTTCCAATCTTCCCTGTTCCCTTCCCCATAGATACTGTGGAACTGTCACAGACTGAAAGGGACCAAATAGACATGAAGCCAAAACCTAACATTTTTTTTTCTGAACTAGATTCTTTTGCTATAAAGGGCATAATTGGTTCCACTGAAACTTGAATAGAGTATGTATTAAATATAAATAATATATCAATGCCAATTTCCCGATTCTAATGATTGAATTTATTATGTAGGAGGATGTTTTTATTTTTTGCAAATATACACTGAAGTTTTAAAGAATAATGGGCTGTCATGTAAACAAATTATTCTCAAATGATTTAGGAAAATAGTTTTAATAAAGCACATAACTTTTCTAATGTTTGTGATTGTTCAAATTTTTAAAAGGTAATGAAGAGCGATGCTATGGAATAAAGTTTCAATTAAAACTCATTGGTTTTGAACTTTATTAATTTAAATTCATTAAAAATGACAAACTGTATTCATTCTTTCACATTTTTTGCAGGATTACTGGCCAAAGGAAATCCATTTTAGAGATGATGATCAATGGTCATACACTCTGAAAAAAATAAAAGAAGATAGTTCATTTGTTTCCATTTATACACATCTATGGGAAAATGTTCCTCGAATATTTGAGGCAGTTTTGATCATGGAATCACAATTAAAGGAATGTTCACTTCTTTTGCAAAACCACAGCTCGAAAATATTTACATGGAAAAGCATGATTTCTGAAACAAGTGAGCCTTATTTATTTTTACCTTTTATAGAAGTGGAGTCTCACTATGTTGCACAGGTTGTTTTCCAGTTTCCAATTTTTGGCCTCAAGTGATCCTCCTGAGTCAGCCTCCTAAAGTGCTGGGATTATAGGCATGAGCCAGTGTACCTGGCCAGTCCTTATTTTTGTATTAGTAAAGTAATGGTCAGGTAGGGGTGTGTGTGTGTGTGTGTGTGTGTGTAATCTCATAAAGAATGAAAATCTAAGGTATAAAAGAAATTTTAAAAATATTTTATTTTAAAACCTTTTCATTTCAAAATTGTTCCATACAGATTTTTTAGTTGAACATAAATATGTGGATTCAAAGGAAGTATTACTTTAAAAAAGCCTTAAAATAGTTGTTAAACTCTTAAGTTTTTGTTAAACTGGAATGGAGGTACAGAATATTAGGAAGATGTGAGAGCAAGATTGCATCAACTAATATTTTTACTAGAAACAAAAATATCAGCAAGGGTCAGGATAGAACAGAAATATCTAAAACTGAAAGTAAAAGGAGTAATAGTTAACCTATATGAGGTAGGCTTGTTTGTAGGTCTAGCTGGTATTCACTATGGAATAACTGAATGAATGACAAAGCATACTGCAAGTAATGATAATTTTTACTTTTCAATATTTGTATAACATTTTTCTAATATAATTGTATTGATGAATATTTCCAGAGTAGTTTTAAATATTTATAATTATTCTTGTCTTATTCTTGACTTAATCGGCAAATTTGTCATATATGTCTTGAAAATGATATTAATTATACTTATAAAGTATTTTTAGATATTAGATTCATTATGTTATTTTGGTATTTAATATTCTTTTTTAGACTTAGATTTGCATAATTCTGAAGATATATTTAAATACATTTCTATTAAGTTATTTAAAAAATTTTAAATTTAAGTTGTGAATTTTTTTAATGTGTATTTTTTTATTTGTAAAAGCTATATATAGCTTCTGTGTATGTATATATAGATATACACACATATATAGCTTGTATACACACACACAGAGACAGCTGTACGTGCATATAAATTCATCTTAGAAAGAAATAAAATATCCACAAGTAACCAAGTAGGAACATATCTTTTCATATCTTCCTCCTGTTTTTTAAAAAAGGTAATTTCTTATATATACATTGTCCTCAATATGTAGATATCAGAGACAGGAATCAAGTCTAGTTTATCTGACTTCAGAGTCCCCCATATTGTTTCACTGAGTCATGCTCAATACTGCACTTTATTGAAATTAAGGTGACCATGAAACAACCAAGCATAATTGGGTGAGCTATTTGAAAAAATGTGGACTTTTTTTTAGGAGAGAGGGATTGACATAAAACTTTAGATATAGGAGTAAGTGCCACAGACATGTTAGTTGGAACATGACATTTCAGAAAAGGAAAACAGAAGATACACTGTATATAATAATTCCAATTATTTATTCAACTAACAGTATGTGTTTAGCATATACTCATCAAAATTGCTAGTTGATTTCATTGAATAGTTTTGTTTATATAATTTGTTTAAAGAATGTAAAGTTTTATTTATTTCTAGAGGATATACATATATATAACATATAAACTATGAATTCTTATATTTTTTAAGGTTCTTATAGAAAATTGGAAAGATATGGGAAGTTCCTAAAGAAGTACCATAAGAAAAAAAAGATAATGGTATGGTATATATGTTTTTATCATCCTTGAAAATTGGATTTTCACAGAAAATATAAATGCTACATTTCCACAGATGACCACTGAAAGTGTTTTTGTAAATGTCCTTTTAGTCTGTTGTCGCCAGTCTAGCATCTGTCTCTATGTTTTAAAGATAACTGCATTTACTTTCTTTTATACTCAATATTAATGAGCATTGGCATCTTCACGTAACTACAAGTTATTTGAAGACATATTTCAAGGTACACAAGTCCATTCTTTGGTTATTTAATAATTTATAACATTTTATACTTAGTGGTGCAGGTTCCATATCAGTCTTCTTCTTTTAGAAAATTAGTAAGTCTTTTTGATGACCTTTAGATTACTCTACCAATTTTTTGAAAATCTTTTTGAGATTTTGATAAAAATTGTCTTTTGAATTACTTTTAGATACCTCATCTTTTAAAAAATATGTTCTAAAAGTATATAATGTTAAAGCTAGAAAAACTTTGTATCACCATTAGTCTAGCCACCTTATTTAATTCTTTTTTTTAAATTAGCTTTTGTTTTCAGTTCAGTGGAATATGTGCAGGTTTGTTATATAAATAAACTTGTATCCTGGAGGTTTGTTGAACAGATTATTTTGTCACTCAGGTATTAAACTTAGTGCCCATTAGTTATTTTCCTGATTTTCTCCCTTCTCCTGCCATCCACCCTTTGTTAGGCCCCAGTGTTTGTTGTTTCCCTCTATGAGTTCATGTGTTCTTATAATTTAGCTCCCACTTGTATGTGAGAACATGCAGTATTTTTTTTTTTGTTCTTGCATTAGTTTGCTAAGGATAATGGCCTCCAGCTCAATCCATGTTTTTGCAAAGGACATGATCTTGTTGTTTCTTAGGGCTACATGGTATTCCATGGTGTATAATATACCCCATTTTCTTTAGGCAGTCAACCATTGATGGGCATTTAGGTTGATTCCATGCCTTTGCTATTGTTAATAGTGCTAGAGTGAACATACATTTGCATGTGTCATTATGTTAGAATGATATATATTTCTTTTAAGTTCTTTCAGAAATCATCAAATTGCTTCCCACAGTGGCTGAACTAATTTATATTCCCACTAGCAGTGAAGTATAAGCATTCCCTTTTCTCTGCAACCTTATCAGTTTCTGTTATTTTTTTACCTTTTAGTAATAGTTATTCTAACTGGTGTGAGATGGTATTTCATTGTGGTTTTGACTTGCACTTCTCTGATGATCAGTGATGTTGAGCTTTTCTTCATATGTTTGTTGGCAGCATATATGTTTTCTTTGGAAAAGTGTTGGTTCATGCCTTTTACCCACTTTTTAATGGGGTTGTGTGCTTTTTTTTTAAGTTCCATGTGAGTTTTGGATATTAGACCTTTTTAAGATGCATAGTTTGCAAATATTTTCTCCCTTTCTGTAGGTTGGTTGTTTACTCTGTTGGTAGTTTATTTTGCTGTCCAGAAACTCTTTAGTTCAATTAGATCCTATTTGTCAATATTTGCTTTTGTTGTGATTGCTTTTGGCATCTTTATCATGAAATCTTTGCCCATACCTATGTCTAGAATGGTATTGCCTAGGTTGTCTTCCTGGGTATTATAGTTTCGGGTTTAACATTTTGGTCTTTAAACCATCTTGAGTTAACTTTCGTATAAGGTATAAGGAAAGGGTGCTATTTCAATATTCTGCATATGGCTAGCCAGTTATCCCAACACTATTTATTGAATAGGGATTCCTTTTCCCATTGCTTGTTTTTGTCATCTTTGTCAAAGATAAGATAGTTGTAGATATGTGGCCTTTTTTATGGGTTCTTTATTCTGTTCCATTGTTCTATGTGTCTGTTTTTGTACCAGTCCCATGCTTTTTGGCTGGCTATAGCCCTATAGTTTACAATAGTTTGAAGTCAAGTAGCATGATACCCCAGCTTTGTTCTTTTTGCTTGGGATTTTCTTGGCTGTTTCAGCTCTTTTTTGGTTCCATATGAATCTAAAAATAGTCTTTTCTAGTTCTGTAAAGAATGTGATTGGTAGTTTAACAGGGATAGCATTAAATCTACAAATTGCTTTGAGCAGTATGGCCATTTTAATGATGTTGATTCTTCCTGTTCATAAGCATGGAATATTTTTCCATTTGTCATCTCTGATTTCTTTGAGAAGTGTTTTGTAGTTCTTGTAGAGATCTTTCACCTCCTTAGTAAGCCATATTCCTAGGTATTTGTGTGTGTGTGTGTGTGTGTGTGTGTGTGTGTGTGTGTGTGTGGCAGTCATGAATGGAATTGTGTTTCTGATTTGGCTCTTGGCTTGACTGTTGGTGTATAGGAGTATTAGTGATTTTCATACATTAATTTTGTATCCTGAGACTTTGCTAAAGTTGTTTATCAGCTTAAGGAGCTTTTAAAACTATGAGGTTTTCTAGGTATAGGATCATGTGTTCTGAAAACAGGGATAGTTTGACTTCCTTTATTTCTATTTAGATGCCTTTATTTCTTTTTGTTGCCTGATACCTCTGATTAAGGCTCCCACAATACTGTGTTCAATAAAAGTGGTGAGAGAGGGCATCCTTGTCTTGTGCCATTTTCAAGGAGAATGCTCCCAGCTTTTGCCCATTTATTATGATATTGACTGTAAATTTGTCGTAGTTGGCTCTAATTATTTTGAGGTATGTACCTTCAATATGTGGTTTATTAAGCGTTTTTTAATATGAAATGATGTTGAATTTTATCGACAGCCTTTTCTGCATCTGTTGAGATAATCATGTGATTTTTTAGTTCTGTTTATGTGATGAATCACATTTATTGATTTGCATATGTTAATCCAACTTTCCATCCTAGGGATAAAACCTACTTGACTGTGATGTATAAGCTTTTTAATGTGCTGCTGGATTCAATTTGCCAGTGTTTTGGTGAGGATTTTTGCATCAATGTTTATGAAGAATATTGGCATATAGTTCTTTTTTGTTGTATCTCTGCCAGGTTTTAGTAACAGAATGATGCTGGCCTCATAGAATGAATTAGGGAAGAGCCCTTCTTCCTCATTGGAATAGTTTCAGCAGGTAGAGTACCACCTCGTCTTTGTACATCTGGTAGAGTTCACTTGTGAAACTGTCTGGTCCTGAGCTTTAAAAGGTTGATAGGTTATTTATTACTGATTCAATTTTAGAGCTCATTATGGGTCTGTTCAGGGATTCAGATTCTTTTTGGCTCAGTCTTGGGACGGTATATGTGTCCAGGAATTTATCCATGTCTTCTAGATTTTCTAGTTTTATATGCACAGAGGCATTTGTAGTATTTATTCTCTGATGGTTGTTTACATTTCTTTGGGGTCAGCGGGGATAGTGATATCCTCCTTATCATTTCTTTTTCTTGTTTTTTTTTTTTTTTTTGGAAGGTAAAAGCAAGTTTATTAAGAAAGTAAAGGTATGAAAGGATGGCTACTCCATAGACAGAACAGCCCTGAGGGATGCTGTTTGCCCATTTTTATGGTTATTTTTTGATGATATGTTAGACAAGGGGTGGATTATTCATGCCTCCACTTTTTAGACCATATAGGGTAACTTCCTGACATGACATGTCATTTGTAAACTGTATGGCACTGGTGGAAGTGTAGCAGTGAGGACAACTAGAAGTTGGTCACTCTTGTTGCCATTTTGGTTTTGGTGGGTTTTGACCGACTCCTTTACTACAATCTGTTTTATCAGCAAGGTCTTTATGACCTGTATTTTGTGCTGACCTCCTATTTCCTTATCATTTCTGATTGTGTTTATTTGATTCTTCTCTCTTTTCTTCATTATTAGTCTAGCTAGCCGTCTATCTATTTTGTTAATATTTTTTTAAAAAACAACTCCTGGATTCGTTGATCTTCTGAATGATTTTTATCTCACAGTCTCCTTCACTTCAGCTCTGATTTGGTTATTTTTTTGTCTTCTGCCAGCTTTGGGGTTGGTTTTCTTTTGGTTCCCTGGTTCTTTTAGTTGTGATGTTAGGTTGTTAACTTGAGATCTTTTTAACTTTTTGATGTGGGCATTTAGTGCTATAAATTTCCCTTTTGACACTGCCTTAGCTGTGTCCCAGAGATTCCGGTATGTCGTATCTTTGTTCTCATTAGTTTCAAAGGACTTCTTTATTTTTGTCCTAATTTCTTTTATTTCCCTAAAGGTCATTCAGTAGCAGTTATTCAATTTCCATGTAATTATGTGGTTTTTGAGTGAATTTCTTAATACTGATTTTTAATTTGATTGCTCTGTGGTCCAAGAGACTGTCATGAATTCAGCTCTTTTGCATTTGCTGAGGAGTATTTTCCTTATGATTATGTGCTTGATTTTAGAGTATGTGCCATGTGGGCAATGAGAAGAATGTGTATTCTGTTTTTTTGGAGTGGTAAGTTCTGTATATGTCTGCCAGGTCCATTTGATCCAGTGCTGGGTTTAGGTCTTGAATACCTTTGTTAATTTTCTGCCTCAATGATCTGTCCTAATACTGTCAGTGGGGTGTTAAAGTCTCTCAGTATTACTGTGTGGGTCTAAGTCTCTTTGAAGGTCTCTAAGAACTTGCTTTGTGAATGTGGGTGCTCCTGTGTTGGGTGCATTTATATTTTGGATCATTAGGTCTTCTTATTGAATTGAAACTGTTACCCCTATGTAGTTCCCTTCTTTGTCTTTTTTGATTTTTGTTGGTTTAAAGTCTGTTTTGTCTAAAATTAGGATTGCAAGTACTAGTTTATTCTGTTTTCCAGTTTCTTGGTAGATTTTTCTCCTTCTCTTTACTTTGAACCTATGTGTCTCATTGCATGCAATATGGGTCTCTTGAAGATAGCATACTAATGGATCTTGGTTCTTTATCCAGTGTGCCACTCTGTGACTTTAATGGGGGCATTTAGCCCCCATTTACATTCAAGATTAATATTGACATGTGTTGATTTGATCCAGTCATCATGATGTTAGCTGGTTTTATACAGATTTGTTTATGTGGTTGCTTTATAGGGTCACTGGTATGTGTACTGTAAGCAGGTGCAGCCAGGCTGGGGCTCTGGGAGAGGCCAGCCAACCAAGGGGTGTTCTAGTTGGACTGGCCCCATCTTTTGGGCAAGATAGCCTTGCACAGTTCAGGTCTGACAGTTCCTCTAGGTCTATCATTTTGTTGTTTGTTGGTTATTATACAGACTTGATTGTGTGGGTGCTTTATAGTGTCACTGGTCTATGTACTTAAGTATGTTTTTCTGGTGGCTAGTAACAGTCTTTGATTTCCATATTTAGCAGTCCCTGAAGGACCTCTTTCAAAGCAGGTTTGTTGGTAATGAATTCTTAAAACATTTGCTTATCTGAAAAAGATTTTATTTCTCCTTCACTTAGTTTGGCTAGATATGAAATTCTTAGCTGGAATTTCTTTTCTTTAAGAGTATTGAATACAGCTGGGCATGGTGACTCACACCTGTAACTCCAGCACTTTGGGAGGCCAAGGTGGGTGGATAATGTGAGGTCAGGAGTTCGAGACCATCCTGACCAACATAGTAAAACTGCCTCTCTACTAAAAACACAAAATTAGCCAGGCACGGTAGTGTGTAATCCCAAGCTACTTGGAAGGCTGAGGCAGGACAATAACTTGAATCCAGGAGGAGTAGGTTTCAGTGAGCCAAGATTGTGCCACTGCACTCTAGCCTGGGCAGCAAGAGTGAAAATCTGTCTCAAAAAAAAAAAGAATACTCTTCTGACTGGTAGGGTTTTTGCTGAAAGGTCTGCTGTTTGCCTGGTGTGGTTCCCTTTGTAGGTTAGCCTGCCTTTCTCTCAGGCCACATTTAATATTTTTTATTTCATGTCAACCTTGGAGAATCTGATAACTGTGTGTCTTGTGGATGGTCATCTTGTATAGTATCTCACAAGGGTTCTCTGCATTTCCTGAATTTGAATGTTGGCCTCTCTAGTGGGTTTGGGAAATTATCATGGATGATGTCATGAAATATTTTTTCCAAGTTGCTTATTTCTCTCCCTCTTTTTCAGGAACACTAGTGAGTATAGATTTGGTTTCTTTATGTAATCTTATATTTCTCAGAGGTTTTGTTCATTATTTTTCATTTATTTTTTGTGTGGCTATTTCTGAGAAGCAGGCTTTGAGGTCTGAGATTCATTCCTCAGCTTGGTCTATTCTGCTGTTAAATCTTTTGATTGTATTGTTAAATACTTGTAGTGTGTTTTTCAGCTCTATCAGTTCAGTTTGGTTCTTCCTTAAAAATTATCATTTCAACTTTCAGCTCCTGTATTGTTTTATCATAATGTCTAGATTGTTTGGAGTTGGTTTTAGTTTCTCCTGAATTTTGATCATCTTTATTCTACCCATATTCTGAATTTTTTCCCTGTCATTTTAGCCATTTCAACCTGGTTAAGCACCATTACTGGAACTAATTTAGTCATTAGGAGGAAAAAGACACTGGCTTTTTGAATTGCCAGAGTTTTTATTATGATGATTCTTTCTCATCTTTGTGGGCTGATGTTTCTTTAACTGTGGTGTTGATTGTAGTCAGTTGGCTTTGTTTCTGGATGTTTTCAGAGGGCTGATACTTTGTGTTGGGTCTTTTCTTGTACCTGAATTCTTGTCTTTGGTTTTATGAGGGCATGTATTTGCAAAGTATTTTTAGTGTTGAAGTTTGGGATGTGATTCAGTAGATGGTGCTTAAGCATACTGGTTCATAGCTAGGCTCTTGCTCAACCAAGTGGCTCTTCTGTATTTCCTTACATTTGTAAGCCATCCTGCTTTCAAATAAGTTTTTAAATTCTGACTACTTATTTTATCAAATGACTTTTCAAAATCTATTGAAATGGCCTTTAGGCATATTATACTAAGAGAAGTTTTAGTAGTTATTCTTTTTGTTAAATATAAAAGTGTTATTGGATTTATCAATCAGAATTTTAACATGTATTTATATTTTTGTGGTCTCTTTTTAAGGTTATATGACTAAAAACTGTTTTGTGTTACTGCAGCTCTGCTGCTTGAAAACTTTCACTGTTTCTTTTCCTCCTACAGAATAAAGCGAGCACTTGGAGATTAACCTTAACATTTAATTAAATCTGACTTCATCTTTTTTTTTTTTTTGACACGGAGTTTCGCTCGTTACCCAGGCTGGAGTGCAATGGCACGATCTCGGCTCACCGCAACCTCCACCTCCTGGGTTCAGGCAATTCTCCTGCCTCAGCCTCCTGAGAGCTGGGATTACAAGCACGTGCCACCATGCCCAGCTAATTTTTTGTATTTTTAGTAGAGATGGGGTTTCACCATGTTGACCAGGATGGTCTCAATGTCTTGACCTTGTGATCTACCCACCTCAGCCTCCCAAAGTGCTGGGATTGCATGAGCTACCGCGCCCGGCCTGACTTCATCTTTTTTAATTTATATATTATAATTGTACCTATTTACAGAGTACATGTGATATTTTGATACATGCATGCACTCTGTAGTGATCAAATCAGGTTATTTAGGATAGCTATTATTTTTTGTTAGGAACATTTCAAATCTTTTCTTCTAGCTATTTTGAAATATACAATACATTGTTGTTAACTATAGTTGCCCTACTATGCTATCAAACAGTAGAACTTAATAGCTATTTTGAAATATACAATACATTGTTGTTAACTATAGTTGCCCTACTATGCTATCAAACAGTAGAACTTAATCATTCTAGATTACAACTGTATCTTTGTACACATTAACCAACCTCTCTTAATCCCCTCTACTCCCCCAACAGCCTCTGGTAATCATCATTCTACACTCTACCTCCACGAGATAAACTTTTTAAGTTCCCACATCTGAATAAGAATACATAATACTTGTCTTTCTGTGCCTGTCTTATTTCACTTAACAGACAACCTCCAGTTTTATCCATATTGCTGCAAATGACAGGATTTCATTTGTTTAATGGCTAAATAGTATTCCATTATATATATACACAACATTTTATCTGTTTATCCTTTGATGGAAACTTAGGTTGGTTCCATATTTCAGCTATCATGAATAGTATTCCAGTAAACCTGGGAGTGCAGGTATCCCTTTGACTTCCTTTCTAGTGGAGAGATACTGAGTAGTGGATTGCTGAACTATCGTATGGTAGTTCTATATTTAGTTTTTTGAGAAACCCCTGTTTTCTGTAATAGCTGTACTAGATTTACATTTCCACCAATAATATTATAAGAATTATCTTTTCTCCTCATCCTTTCTAGCATTTGTTGTCTTTTGACAATAGCCATTTTAACTTGGGTAAGATTCATTGTGGGTTCGACTTGCATTTATCTGATCATTTGTGATGTTGAATGTTTTTTGTAGGCCATTTGTATGTCTTCTTTTGAGAAATGTATATTCAGATCCTTTGCCCACTTTTTGATAGTATTACGTGGTGTTTATTTTTGCTATTGAGTTGTTCTAGTTCCTTGAATACTAATATGTTCTGGATATTGGTCTCTTATTAAATAAATGGTTTGCAAATATTTTCTCCCACTACACAGGTTGTCTCATCACACTGTTGTTTCCTTTGCTGTACAAAAGTTTCCTAGTTTAATGTAGCCCTATTTCTGACCTCATCTTTATTGTATCTGTAGCTTTCAAGCACATAGCCTTCTTTAAAATCATGTTTGATCTCGTTTTTTTCCCAAAAAGTCTCTCTTTCTTATTCCTGTGTACACTTTTAAAAATGAGAATAATATGATCCTCTTTCTGGAAGCAATCTATTATTCTTTCCAATTTGTTTCATATATTGTTTGTCGTCTCCTTTCTAATATATGTATATGTGTAATATGTGTGTATGTATGTTCTTGTATGTGTAAAACTTACTTGTAAGCTTAGTTATTTTTGGAGTAATTAGGAATGTGGAAATTAACCTGCTGTCTGTCTATATATCTATCATCTATCTGTGTCTATAGAATATGAATATATATACATATAAACATGACTATATGATCAAAAACTGATCTATGTGTGTAAAGCAGTGTAGCAGACATTAAAATTTGCCATCTGGATTCCTTTTCAAAGAAAGATCTGTTTCTCTAGCAGCTAAGAATGCTGTTAAGGGCCACACTTCAACTGTCAGCTCCTTCATGGGATTCCTTACCTCCAGAGAGCTTCTTCTTCTGAGGAAACATCTTTCCAGGAGCTACTCAATGACTGCTCAAGTTGGGGCAGGAAGTCCTGGCTATTTCAGTCCAATGCAGGACAACTCTGATGAATACTTTCACCTCTAGAATTCTTCTTGGAGTCAGTTGTAGCTATTAGGCTTCCATTATAGCTAATTTCTCTATCTGCCCAATCCTGCCTCTTCCCTTAACTGCCAAAGGCATTGATTTCAAAAGCACTCCCAATAAATGTTCTGAACACTGAACTCCTCCAGAGAATCTATTTCTCAGGGAACCCTAACTTGTAATAGTGGTTTATTTTAGCCCTTATCGCTGTTCATTTTGTTTATGAATATATCTGATTCCCTTCTTCAGCCATAACTAGTTTAAGGGCAAGGACCATCTTTGAATTTCTAGTATCCAACACAGCAATAGTATTTAAGGCCTCTGTAGGATGTATGTATATCTATATCTATATCTATCCATATTAGTTAACTGAGCAAATTTACTAAATGTTAAATTTCTTTAATTTAGAATTTTAAAGATTTTACTCTAAATGTTTTCCAGCTTTCAAATGACATGGAGACAGAGAAGAATATAGAGGTACTTAACATTTATGTTTTGCTAGATTATAAATCAAGTGTATTATGTAGGACTAAAATAATGTTTACAATAATATAAGCATAGCTCTAAATATAGAGAGAGGTACCAGAGGAGAGCAGGTATAGAAGCTTCCTAGTCTATATTTATTTATGTATAGTCCAGCTAAAATTCTTGATCATTTGAGTTTATGTCAAAATTAATTCTGAAATATGATTTTGTTTTGATTTTAGATATGGCATATGAATGTGCAAGGGCTTCTTATTTCAGAGAAGCAGATAATATGAAGATTTTTCTTTTCCTTTCCTTTTTTTTTTTTTTTTTTTGAGACAGAGTCTCTGTGGCCCAGTCTGAAGTGCAGTGGTGGAACCTTGGCTCACTGCAGCCTCTGCCTCCCGGGTTCAAGTGATTCTCCTGCCTCAGCCTCCCAAGTAGCTGTGATTACATGTGTGCGCCACCATGCCTGGCTAATTTTTACATTTTTAGTAGAGACAGGGTTTTACTATGTAGGCCAGGCTGGTCTTGAACTCCCAACCTCAAACACCTTGGTCTCCCAAAGTGCTGGCATTATAGGCGTGAGCCACTGCACCTGGCTGAAGGTTTTTCTTAGATGGGATATATAAATTTTACTTAATTTAGTAAAAAGAAGTAAAATTATGTTCGTGAATGATAGTTAAATGTTGGTTATCTGTAGTTATATGAGTATACTATAGTGAGAAAAGTAAAATAATTACTGTCCTGTTATATTCGCCTCTTTCTAGGGTTGCAACTTCACAGGATTCAAAGCAAATGAACTTACTCAGCTACCTAGACATTTGGATGCCAGAGAAATGTATCTTTTTATTTTAAAAGCCCATAATTTTGATGTATGTAAATATTTTATTTTATTGTAGGATAAATTTTGGCAGTAGGATTTAATGAATCAGACCTTTATTTAAAGCTATGATAAATAATTAGATGTTAAACAAGATTTGATCCTTTGGGCATTAAATTTGGCAGGAAAGACCAGTGATGTCTTACCTACTGATTACCAGAAAAGAATGTTTTAAACTCTATGGTACTGCTTCAGGATCCTGAGGTTGCTAGTGTACACTGGCTTGGCATGTAACTGTGACAGGTGTTTTTTTCCTTCTGGTCTGTTCCTGCTCTCTCAGCTCAGGATGTTTTAGCCTGCTCATTTTTGATCCTGAAATAAGTTGTGAGTGCCCTTCTTCACAACTCTTTGGGTGTTTCTTTTGAGTCTTCTAATGTCTGTGGGAATTTTCGAGTAGTATCCCTATAGGGTAACCAAATGATGAAAAACTGGAGGTGTTGAGAGGTAGTTAGATCAATAGCCAGTGAATACCACGGCTAAAATGAGAGTGATTACCTGGTAAAATAGTCAGTGAATACCAGGGCTAGTTACCTGGTAAAAGTGGTCATTTTGCCCTCCATTTCAATTTACCTGTTATAAAATAGCCAGTGAACACCAGGGTTAAAATGTGAGGTGGTTACCTGGTAAAACTGGTCATTTTGCCCTCTATTTCAATTTTCTGATTTTTATGTTTATATCCATTACATATATTCTTTGTCACTAAAAAATATTAAATCCAAGTTGAAGCTGTTACCAGTGTACTTCATACTATGCTTAGTGGCTTATGAAAAAGATGTGCCCCCACAGAATACATAATAATTTTCATGTTGTGAAAGTTGCATTATGGTCTTTTTATAGACCTGTACTTGAAGAGGAATTCATACCTCTGGATGTAATTAAAAGGAATTAATTTCAGACATAAAAGAATCTTGAATGTCTCCATCTGACATTAAAACTTTTTGTGAATAAGAAGATAAAACGATCTGTTGAATCTGCCTATTTTAACCAAAACTTAGTTTCTAGTAGTCACAGTAGACAGATTTAACCATTTATACCAATTTCGATCAATTGTCTGCTTCAGAAGAACACTAGACAGGCCCAGAAGAAGGGCTTATTGGAATAGAAGTCCATGATTGATTGTTGATATTTGTCCTTAGTGGAAAAGGGGGAACTCATGGCATGAATCTTACATTTTTGCTGTTCATGGTCTATCCGACATTGTCCTTTCAATATCAACTAGCCAAATATGGTTACTGAGCATGTGAAATGTGGCTAGTATGACTGAGGAGGTGAATTTTATATTGTATTTCTTTTAACTCATATATAAATCTAAAAACTAAATTTGATTTAGTTATTTAAAAATGTCTTATTATGCTTGGAACAAAATTACAAACATGTATTCTATGAAGTCTAAACATTAATCTAGTATTTCTGATGAAAATGTAGTGTTCAAATTGAGATTGAGATACGCTATCAAAAATATATACCATATTTCAAATGCTTAGTAGTCAAAAAGGAATGACATATTTTTAATAATTTTTATGTAAATTGTATGTTGGGGTGATATTTTCAACATATTTGGTTAAATAAAATGTTACTAAAATTAATTTCACTGTTTACTTTTTAATGTGACTTCAAGAATATTTAATATTATGTATGTGGCTCATGTTAAATTTCTGTTGGACAGTGCTGATCTCTAAGCATTGAAAACATACTCTTTATAAAGCCTATTTATGTTAGCATGTTTTGTAATGTGTTTTAATCTCTATGCATCTCTCTTTTGTTTCTTTTCCCATAGGAAAAGGTTTTTAAAATATGGAAGACTCATTTTCTCTCAGAAGCCTCCATTGCTCTTTTGCATGACTCCTTTTGGTGGTGGTTTCTCCATAAATTTAAGGTATGGTGTTTTAAAAAAATTATTTTTAAGTTGATTTTGAGCATAATTAATTTTTCAGTAGAGATAAGTCTAGTACAAAAATGCTTTTCTGGATCCTACTACAGAGGTCATTTTTTGAGCGTTCACCATATAAGAAATCCTATTGGAAGTCTAGAGTTCTTTCAAAGGAGTTAAAACTGTAATATGGATTTCAAAAGATTCTGGATCTTTGAAATTAGACTTCATAAATTATATATATTATATATCATATAATTAGAGTCTAAGTCAGAAATTTAATGAGAAGATCCAGAATTAGAAAGGTGAGGATTCTGATTAGGACTGAACAGATAAACAAGGTGTGTTAGTCCATTTTCACACTGCTATGAAGAACCTAAGACTGGGAAATTTATGAAGGAAAGAGGTTTAATTGACTCACACTTTGCACGGCTTCGGAGGCCTCAGGAAACTTACGGTCCTGATGAAAGGCAAAAGGGAAACAGGCACCTTCTTCACAGGGAGGTAAGAGGGAGAGAAAGGGAAGCAAAAGCGCCACAGTTTTTAAACCACAGATCTCGTGAGAACTCACCATTACAAGAACATCATGGGGGAAGCCATTCTCATGATCCAGTAACCTCCCACCAGGTTCCTACCTCGACATGGGGTGATTACAACTCAAGATGAGATTTGATTGGTGACACAGAGCCAAACCACATCAGAGGGGGCATCTGGGAAACATTAAGAGAAGGAAAAAGCAACACATGAAACAGTGTTTTACTAGAAGAGTTTCAGTAATAATATTATAATAACCTTAATGTTTTAAAAAGTTGCTCTTGGGACCTTGACTACAAAAAAGACAGATCCCTGGAAAGTGTATCATTTTCCTCCAAACAACAAGAGAAAGGCATATATAACTTACAAAGTTAGGTGTTTTTTTTTTTTTTTTTTTTTACCCCATCATACAAAGTAGATTTCAAAGCAAAGAATGTTACCAGAGATAAAGAAAGTAATTTTGTAATGCTGAAGTGGTAGTTCATCAACCTGACATAACAATTCCAAATATTTATGCACCTAATAAAAATGCTTCAAAACACATTTAATAAAAACTTTTAATACTTTAATGAGAAATGCACAAATCAGTAAGTATAGTGATTTCAGCACCTTCTTTGAATAGTTGGTAGACTATAAAGAAAATCAGTAAGGATACAGAATGATATAGAAGACTTGAACAACACTGTCAAGCAACTTGACATAGTTGACATTTGTAAACATCTCTCCTGTCTTAGTTGGTTTTGTGCTGCAATAACAGAATATAACAGAATGGTAATTTATAATTAACAGAATGAATTGTCTCACAGTAGGCTGGGGTGTCCAAGATAGAGGGACCAGCATGTGGTGAGGGCCTTTTTGCTTCATCACTCCTTGGCATCAGGTAGAAGAGTGAGAGAGGGAACAAATAAGACAGCCCTTCCTGTGATAACAAACTTACTTCTGTGATAATGGCATAATCTGTTCATGAGGATAATGTCCCCAATACCTAAAACGTCCCGTTAGGCCTCATCTTTCAACAGCACTGCATTGGGGATCAAATTTTAAATACATTAAATTTTGGGAACACATTCAAACCATAGTACCTCACAAGAGCAGGAGAATATACATTTTTCTCAAGTGCACATTAAACATTTACTAAGATTAACTATATTCTGAGCTAGAAAAATATCCTAATAAGTTTATAAGAATTCAAGCCAAACAAAGTGTTTTCGGATCAACATGGAGGTATATTATAAAATAATAACAGATCTCTAAAATATTTCCAAATATTTGAAAATGAACACAGTTCTCAATAACCATGGATCAAGTCAGAAATCAATAAGGAAATCAGAAATTATTTTGAACTAAATGAAAATGAAAACACAGATTAAAACATCTGAGATATAACTAAAGCAGTATTTAGAGAGAAAATCAAAGAATTAAAATGCCTGCAATAGAAAAAAGAGAAAGTTCTGAAAAAAGAGAAAGTGTATCTTCTACCTTAAGAAATTGGAAAAAGAAAAAAAAAACCAAACCTATGGAAAGCAGAACAAAACAAAATAATAAAGATCAGAGAGAAAATAAAATTAAAAAGAAAAAGCAGAGAAATTAAAGAAACTCAATATGGCCAAAAGTTGGTTATTTGAGAATTATAAAAATGAGGTAACACAAGCAATTTGAAGCCATTGTTTCAGTGAGAGTGACCATAGAAGAAACAAAATGTAAATACAGTTCATTGCTTGACTTAATTGATTCAAGCTCCTAACGGTTTAGCAAAAGAAGAAGAATGCCTATTCCCAAACATAAATATTACTTACCTCAGTTTCTACAGGCCTTTGAAAGATGCCAACCTCTCAAACAGAAGGTATAAGACATATAAAAAAAAGGAAAGGAATTGTGAATTGTTTGATATGAAAATTATCAGCTTAATGAGAAAATGTCAAATTGTTTTTCCAAGTGCATGTACAATTTTATACTCCCATTGTTAATATATTGAGTTCCCATTGTTTCTGAACAACCAATGAGTCAAAGAAGAAATCAAAAAGGAAATCAGAAAATACCTTGAGACAAATGAAAACAAAAACACAACTTGCCAAAACTTATGAGATGCAGCACAAACAATGCAAAGAGGGAAATTTATAGCTGTAAATTCTTACATTAAAAAAGAAGAAACCATAGCAATTAGGCAAGAAAAACAAATAAAAGTATTCTAATAGAAAAGGAAGAGGTGAAATATCTCTGTTTGTAACAACATCTTTTATACAGAAAATCCTAATGATTCCACAAAAAAAACTGTTAGAAATATATGAATTCAGTTGCAGGATACAAAATCAACATTCAAAAGTTAGTAGCATTTCTGTACACTAACAATGAGTTATACAAAAAAGAAATCAAGAAAACAATTCTGTTTACAGGAGTAATGACAAAATAAAATACTTAGATTTAAACTTAACCAAGGAGGTGAGAGATCTGTATACTGGAAATAAAAAACATGGATGAAAGAAATAAAAGATGACACAAATAAATGGACATATATCATATGTACATAGATTGAAAGAATTAGTATTAGTAAAACATCTATACTACCCAAAGCAACATACAGAATCAATCTAATCCATAACAAAATTCCAGTGATGTTTTCCCAGAAATAGTAAAAAAAAAAAGTTCTAAAATTTATATTTTAGAACAAAAGAAACTCAAGCAGTCTTGAGCAAAAAATACAAAGCCTGAAGTAGCACACTACCTAACTTCAAAATATGCTACAATGCTCTAGTAACTGAAAAAAAGCAGAGTATTGGCATAAAAACAGACACATATGCCAAAAGAACAGAAAAGAGAGCCCCAAAATAAATCTACAGGTTTATAATCAATTGACTTTCAACAAAGGTGCCAAGAAGACATAACAAAGAAGGATAGTCTTCAATAACTGTTGTTGGGATAACTGAGTATCCACATGCAGAAGAAGGAAATTGAACCCTTATTTCATATCATATACAAAAATCAAGTCAACATGTATTAAATTAAAGACAAGTATAAGATCTGAAAGTGTAAAACTATTAGAATAAAACATAGAGGAAAAGCTCCATGACATTGGTTTGTGTAATGATTTTTTGAATATGAAGCAAAGTATAGGCAACAAAAGCAAAAAATAAACAAACGAAATTACATCAGACTAAAAAGCTTCAGCACAACAAAGCAGACAATCAATAGATTGAAGAGACAACCTTTACAGTGGGAGAAAATATTTGAAAATCATACATCCGATAAGAGGTTAATGTCCAAGATATATAAGTATTTCAAACAATTTAATAGCAGGAAAACAAATAGCCTGATTTAAAGAGGAAAAAAGTAAATTAATATAATCATTTTGGAAAATGGTATGAAGTTTCTACAAAAAAATTAAAAGTAGAATCACCATATGATCCAGCAGTCCAATTTCTGTACTGTAGTTATAGCCAAAGGACTTAAAATTGCTATGTTGAAAAGATATTTGCACTTTTATGTTCATTGTAGCATTAATCATAATAGCCAAGATATGAAAGCAACCTGAATGTTTATCAATGAATTAATGGATAAAGAAGACATTACATATATATGTGTGTGTGTGTGTGTGTGTGTGTGTGTGTGTATACACACATATATATAAATATATTTGTAATGGAATACTATATAGTCTTTTAAAAAGAAGGATATTCTGTAATTTCCAAAAACATAGGTGGAACTGGAGGACATTTTGCTAACTGAAATAAGCCAAACAGAGAAAGTCAAATACTGTATGATCTCACATGTAGAATCTAAAAAAGTCAATCTTGTAGAAACAGAGAGCAGAAAGGTGGTTACCAGAGGCTAAGGGTGGGGAGAAATGGGGAAAAATGAGATGATCAAAAGGTACAAAGTTTCACTTACACCACAGAAATAAGTTTTAGTGATCTATTTTACTGCATGGTGACCACAGTAAATTATGTGTTTTAAATTTAATAAAATAATTTGATAAAACTTTTTAAATGGGCAAAGGCTCTAAACAAATACTTCTTAAAAGAAGACATACAAATGGCCAACAGTATGTGAAAAAATGCTCAACATCGCTAATCATTAGGGAATACAAACCAAAACCACAATGAGATACAATCTCACATACCAGTTCAATATGTGAGATGTTATCTAACATGGCTGTTATCCAAAAGGTGAAAGATAACAGGTATTGGTGAGGATATGGAGAAAAGTTGGAAATGTGAGTTACTACAGCTAATATGGAAGACAGTATGGATTTCTCAAAAACTAAAAGTAGAACTACGACATGCTCCAGTAATCCAACTTCTGGGTATACATCCACAGGAATTCAAATCAGTATGTCAAATAGATATCTCTATGTCCACATTCATTGCAATACAATAGCTAAGATAGGAAATCAACTTAAGTGTCCATCATAGAAATCAACCTAAGTGTATGTAAACGAGTGAATGGATAATGTGGTGTAAATACACAATAGAATA